GTTAACTCTGTTTTTACCTTCACAGATGCTGCCAGACCTGCTGAGCTTTTCCAGCAACTTTGTTTTTGTTCCTTTTAATCTTTCTTGGTTTTCTGTCTTTTCCCCCACATGGACTGACAAAGGGGTGGAGAGAAATGTTCTCTGGCTCACAGGTGTCTGGCTGCCCTGCGGCTCAACCAATCCAATGGCAGTCGTCATTCTGTCTTTCCCTTCACTCAAAGACCCCCCTGTGTCTCAAACTATCCTCCTCACTGCTTCGAGATTGTCCTGCACAGCTAAAAATAACTTTTTTTTATCAAGTTGTGAAATTCTCCACTTATATCAGCAATATAACAGTCAGACTTCCATTTCAATATCTTAAGAAAAATATATGGTCCCTTACAGCATGTGCTTCTTTTGCAAATTAAATCTGTGTCCTCTCATTCTTGATCCTTTTATGAGCAGGAATAGATTCCCCATATCTACTCCATCCAGGCCCCTCATGATCCTGAAAACTATCAAATCTCCTAGCCTCCCCTTTTCCAGGTTAGCACAGTGGCTCAGTGGTTAGCACTCCTGACAGTGCCAGGGACCCGGGTTTGACTCCAGCCTCGGGTGATCATCTGTGTGAAGTTTGCACGTTCTCCCCGTGTCTGCATGGGATCGCTCCAGTTTCCTCCCACGGTCCAACAATGTGCAGGTTAGGGTGGATTGGCCATGCTAAATTGTCCCGTAGTGCCCAGGGATGTGCAGGTTAGGGTAGATTGGCCAATGGGAAATTGTTCCGTAGTGCCCAGGGATGTGCAGGTTATGGTGGATTGGCCAATGGGAAATTGTTCCGTAGTGCCCAGGGACGTGCAGGTTAGGGTAGATTGGCCAATGGGAAATTGTTCCGTAGTGCCCAGGGATGTGCAGGTAAGGGTGGATTGGCCGTGCTAAACTGCCCTAGGGATGTGCAGACTGGGTGGGTTAGCCATGGGAAATACAGGGATAGGGCAGGGGACTAGATCTGGATGGGATGCTCTTTGGAAGGTTGGTGCAGACCCAATGGGCTGAATGGCCTGCTTTTCGCACTGTAGGGATTCTACGATTCTCTGTGTGTGATATGCAGCCTTCTATCATTGGGTGCGATGAGCAATAATTTGTTCCCAAACTGCAATCAGGGAGTAAGAATCAAGATGAGCAGCACAAAACTGTGTCCTTGGCCTTTGGGAGCTGCTCCTTGCTGCTTAAGGTCACTATCTTATTTCATGTTTAGCAACAACTGGAGACAAACCTATCACATCTAGTGTCTCCCATTCTAATTCCCTGTTACAAAGACCAATGGACCACCCTCTCCTCTTTCCCCCTCCCTGTGATGGACACCACAGACTCTTTCTGGAAGAGTGGGTAACAATTTCATCTCTCACTGAGTAGGCCCAAGGGCCAACTCCAGAGGCTGGAGCTCAGATTCTGTGCTGATGCTTCCAGGACAACCCTTGCTGAATGTTCCGCACTGTCAGAAGTGAGCACTTTTAATAAGGTGCTAGGAAAGGCCCTGGTTAGAGATCACGCGGCGCTATTTCAGAGGCAAGGGAGCTCTCTGCGGTGTCCTGGCCAACATTCAGTTCAACAGATGGGCTGGTCATTCCCACAATGCTACTTGTGGGCATTGGCCAAGCTCAGATCGGCTGGCACATCCGCGACTGTGTCTCGGAAAGCATTTCCTTGAAGCACTCGGAAAAGTTGTGAAAGACGTTCCTGCCTGGTGCCACCACCCCCCAGCAATGTGACTGAACCTCATTAACCATGACTTCTCCTGGGTCGCAAGAGAAAATCAGCATTCTCTGCCCCCTGAGAATAATCCACACACCCCCTCCAGAGCCCTGGTGAACCCTTACCCTCCCAACAGCTAGGGGTAGGAGAAGCTCAATCAAACCCTAGAGCCTGCTCTTCCATTCAATAAGATCGTGGCTGATCTCACCTAGAAACAGGACTTACCTGGGTCACTCGATTGTCAGCCATTCCTTGTAGGCCACAAGATCATGTACAGAGTGGGAGAAGTCCCCCAAAGCATAGGAGGAGCGGGGGGAGTCGGATGAGGATGAGTCAGAGGGGGAGGACTCGGAGGGCGACTCACTGACCGGCGCTGAGGTGACAGATCGCAGGGTGTCTCCAGCTTCTGGTTCCCTCAGCAGCAGCTCCAACCTCCGGATATAGTCACTTGCTGATCGCAGTGTGTCTACTTTGCTCATCCTCTTGCCTGCCCCATGCTGGGGCACATGCCGCTGCAGGTTGGCGAAGCCCAGGTTGACCAGTCGCACCCGGTCCCTCTCCCGCGCGTTGCGCCGGTCGCCAGTGTCGGGGGCACCGCGACGCCGCCGTGGCTGAATAGCCGGTCTTGCCCTCCTCTTCAGGCCACTTGGGGCCTCCGTCCCCGGCTCCACCTCTGTGCAGCTCGGCATACTGGGGGATAGCCGCTCTGGACAGAGCAGCCTGAATGGGCTCTGCCACAGAGGAGAACTCTTCCTGGAGTGAGAGGCAGCCAGAGACAGAGATCTGGTTTTACAACCTTGGATCCACGCCCTCCCATCGAACCAGTCCTAACCTGCCCATCCCATTCAGCTTTCACTCTCTCACTCTCTCTGAAACCTTCATCAGAAATATCCTTCCTGCAGTCACACATGTGCTTTTAACTCTCGCTGTGCCCCTGCTCTCAATCTTTGTCTATAACTATCTAATACACTTCCAGGAACATGTGTGGAATCTGATGGAAAACTCCCCACTTGCCTTGCGATGCCTAACAAGAAAGAATCAAGTCATTCCCTCTGGACATCGCCATCACCAAATTCACTACCTCTAACATCCTAGGGAGAGGGTTACCATTGACCAGAAACTCAATGAACTAGCCATGGGAATACAGTTGCTACAGGAGCAGGTCAGAGGCTGGGATTGCAGTGAGGAGCTCACCTCCTGACTCCCAAAGCCTGTCCACCATCTACAAGGCACAAGTCAGGAGTGTGATGGAATACTCCCCACTTGCCTGGATGGGTGCAGCCCCAACAACACTCAAGAAGCTTGAAGCCATCCAGGACAAAGCAGCCCATTTGATTGGCTCCACATCCACAAACATCCACTCCCTCTGTACTATCTACAAGATAGACTGTAGAAATTGATCAACATTCTTCTTTTTAATTATTCATTTGTGGGATGTGGGTGTCACCGGCTGGGCCAGCGTTTATTGCCCATCCCTAGTTGCCCCTTTAGAGGTTGGTGGTGAGCTGCATCTTAAACTACCGCAGTCCAGATGCTGTATGTTGACTCACAATGCAATTAGGGAGGGAATTCATCAGACACGAGGAGACAATACACAAAATCTGTCTTAATTTAAATGACTATAAACCTGATTCTCAGAACTGCCTGGAACAGTGCACCAATTATAATTAATTAGACAAACCAAACAGAACATTGCTATTGAGGGAGATTAAAGTTAATATAGAAGAGAGTCCTCCTGAGACTGTGTTTACCTGACGAGAGATGATTCACATTTCCAGCCTTTAAATTGTCCCAATCCGGGTTGAAATCAAATAAACAGGATGTGAATTTTCTGACCTTAAAATTGAAAGTGGTTCATTTGAGTAATTGAGTGTTGGGAATTTGTTGAGTTCTGTCAGGCTAGAAGGTTACTTGTTTGATTATTCGAGACTTTTGAATCCTATCTGATCTATTGCCTAAATTTCTTCCAACCATTCATGGGATCTGGGAGTAGCTGGCTGGGCCAGCATTTAATGCCCACCCCTAATCAGGAAGGATGGGAGAGTTCCCTTCTTGAACTATTGCAGACCTTGATCAATGTTCCCTCCAAGCTGTGTAATCACACAACCACTGGCCCATGAACATTGATGGACGTCCGCTTCCAGACACTGCTAACACACATCCTTGGTTTTCATCCTTATAGTCTGTTGTTTTTAGCTTCCTGGCTCCTAAACTTTGGAATTTCCTCCCTAAATCTCTCTGTCCCTCTCTCCTGTTTTAAAACACTCATTGACTAAGCTTTAGCCCACCTGTCCCACATCTCCTCAGGATGGTGGGATTATCACATTTTGTCTGATGACACTCACACACACCAACGGATTCACGAAAATCTTCTACCCCGCTGTTATTAGATTTTGGAATGGACCCTCTCAAATTTTAAATTTAATGTCGACTTGCTGGTTGTGCACCTTCTCTACAGCCGTAACCTTGTACTCCTCGCTTTAATCTCTTACCGTCATGCATGGTACTGCACGCAAAAGAAAACTTTTCACTGTACCTAGGTACACGTGATAATAATAAATCACATCAAATCCTGTGAGGCACATTGGAATGTAGCTTCTCAGAGGTGCTATGTAAATGCGAGTTGTTGCTGTTTCATTGCTGTCTGCACTGCCTTGGGTGAAGAATGTGTCAGTCCGAAACACAGCGGAACATCTCAGAAATGGTCTACGGTCGGATATTGATCCTTTGGTTCAGGAGTGGAATAACTACAAAGAGGGTGCTCAGGTAGGAGCCTGATGGAGCTCCTTCTAATGAAGTTGGGAAGGGATTAATGTTCTAGGAAGAATACAGAGAAGGTTTACAAGAAAGTTAGTCAGGGCTTGAAAATTGCAGGCAAGAGGAAAGATTGGATTGGCTGGGGGCTGTTTCTCTTCAAACAGAGGAGGCTGAGGGGTGAAATAATGAAGGTGTGTACAGCATAATTTGGGGCACAGACAGTGAAGATCTGTCTCCCCTACCCATGGCACAGAGAGAGGGGCACAGATTGGCAGAAGATTAAACGAGCCATGAAGAGAAACCCAAATGGATTTGGATAGGGTGGGCACGGTTTTCACTTCTGGGGGAGAATGAGGGAGTAGTTGGAATGCGGAACTTGCTCCCACAGGGAATAGTTGAGGAGAGATACATATAGAAGGAAACTATAAAAGCACGTTAGGGAGAAGGGATTGGAAGGAAATGTCGAAGGGGTTAAATGTCGAGGAGAAGGGACAGCGCTTGTGTGCACTGGTATGATTGAGTCGGGCTAAATGACATCTCTCTACATTCTCAGTGCTGCTGTCACCAACTGCACTGGGGTCCCATTGGATCTAATTATCGTGTGTGTAATAATCTATTGATGTGATGGGTCGAGGCAGGGCCATTGAGTATTTGTTAGGCCCAGGTCAATGAATTCCTGCCCGACGAGGGAATCAAGGGGACAGGCAGGAAAGTGGGAGTTGAGGCAAAATCAAATGAGCGGTGAGCAGATCGAGTACCCGAGTGGCCTATCCTGCTCCTAATTCATATGTACCTTGCCTTCTATCCCACACACACAGACATGCTCATATAGACACACACAGATACAGACACACACACATGAACACAGATACACACGCATACCCAGGCGCATACACACACACATATGCAAATACAGATACACATACATGCACACATAGACACACACGGATACACCCACTCACACAGACACACACACACAGAAACACACACAAGAAAACATGCATGCACGCCACCAGAAACACATATTAACACAAGAAACAGATACATGCACACACACAAATACGCACACGGCGCCCACACACACACAAAAGGAAACGCACACACACACACACACACAAGAAACGCATATACACACATGAGAAACACCCGCGAACACTCCATACACACAAACACATAATCATACAAACACAGAGTTGGCCAGCAAATTTGCCAGAGCAAAGTCCTTCTGACAGAGCCTGATAACGATTGCTGCAGCTCCTAGCTGCGGTTCACTTTGGGTCTCGATCCTACCGTGAGGTTTTCCTTGGTTCGTGTGTGGAAAAGCAAGCAGTTCGACGATGGGGAAACTTTGTGTCCTCAATTTCATTGGGATCTGCCAGGTCCCTCCTTCTATGGGAACGCAGCCCTTTAAGGTAACTCAGAAATGCTCCAGATTTTTAGCATTTGCTTTTAGCATTTCACTGCAGAGATTTCACTTTCAAATCTTTACAAATTGAAGACTCCATCACACGGTTCTCACAGTTTTTCGTACAGAATTCCCAGAATCACACAGCACAGAAGGAGCCTGTTTGATCCATTGTCTTGGTACTGACTTCTCAAAAGAGCTCCCCACCAGAAGTTTGCACATAGCCCTGAACTTTATTTTTCTTTTTAAATACATAATCCCCTTTGGAAGTTACTATTCAATCTGTTCCTGCATTCTTTCAAGCATTACATTCCAGAACAGCTGCTAACAATTCCCCTCACCTTCTTGCCAAAATTGCAAAAACAGAAGCACCTTCTGCACAGCAGGATTCCATTAATAGCAATGAAATGCAGTTAATTGCTGGAAGTACTTCAGACTGAACATTGGGCACAGTCCTCCAATCTCTCAATAGAGCCATCAGTTTTTGTTCCCTACCTTTTTGAATTTAATTATGGACATCTCCCAATGGCAAGGCCAACATTAATTGCCCATCCTTTGCTATTTGAAAAATGATAGTTAGCCACTGTCTTGAACCATTACAGGCTGCATGGTAAGGGTGCTAAAATGGATGGAGTTCCCGAATTTTGACCCAGTGACAACGAAGGGACAATCATATAGTTCCAGGTCAAGGTGGTCTGTAACTTGGAAGGGCAATCTGCAGGCAGAGGGAGATACCAATGTAAAGGCAGCCACCATCTTAGATTGTGGTCATGGATGTGCCAAGTGGTATCAAAGGAGGCTTGACATGTTACTGTAAACACCATGCAGATGGTACAAACTATGGTGGGTATAGTGCCAATCCAGCTGGCCATTTTGTCCCAGATGGTGTCAAGCTTCTTGAATGTTGTTGGAACTGAACCCATCCAGGCAAACGGAAGGGGTTAATGGATCCAGGAGGTGTGTCACTCACTGCAAAATTCCTTCCCTCTGGAAGCCACAGAATTTTTTCGACTGCTCCGGTTTTGTAATGGCTAATGATGAGAAAATGTTGGTGATCAGGTATTCCCTTGTTGTAATTTAACAGACAGTCATGGAAGATTAAGTAGATTCCCACTGAGCAGAGATTTTGGAACTTGGGACATTTCGAAGTTGGGGTCTTTCAGGATTAATGTGTTTTGGGATTAAGGGGTTTTTTTGGGGGTTGAAGTGTTTTGAAGTTGAGATGTTTTGGGGTTGGGGTGTGTCAGTGTAGCCTGTTTTTATGTATCAAAGCAAGAAGTCCAATGTTTTGACCAGCCCTCTGCGCAGAATCAGTTATCAAAGCTGGCTAAAAGTTTCAGCTTGATCTAATAAGCACGCAGAGAGCTCCTAGGGTATAAAGCTTGCTTAGTTGTGTGTTTTATTTGTTACTTTAATGCTTCGGAGGCTGTTTTCCACAAATCCAGTATTCAACATCTTTGTAAAACTAGTCTAGAATAATCCAGTATGTCATCTAGACTGAAGCAATGCAAATTTTGGAAATTGGAAGAAAATACCAATTCTTTAACCTATTTCATATCCAATGGACATTCCAAAACATTTCAAAGATGATAAATTATTTTAGAGTGTAATCATTGTCCTTATGTAGGAAACCCCTTCACTATCTCTCTGGCAAACCCTCTCCTCACTATTTTCCTGTCAACTATCTTCTCAACTCAATATCTATTTGATGGCTCCCCTGCAGGAACACGCTGACACCTCAGTATGACAGGAGATAACTGGAACATCTACGCGAGCAGTTAGAGAAGTGGGAAAGATTGGAGGCTGAAATTTCCGAAAAGGATTATCCTCTTGAATGTTCATGGATTGAGTCAGAAAATCCTTAGGCATCTTTTCATTCTTCTGTAGTTTGTCCCTCCAAGGACATCTAGTGCTCAAAGGGCTATCTCCACAGCTTTGTGTAATTGGTCCAGATCCTAATGATGTATCAGTGTGGTCCATTGGTGTGCTGTAGACATTGAAAATTATCTCAAGAGGTTTAGCCTTTAAAAGCTACCCGATTGCAGAATAAGAACTGAGCTCCCCCCCACCGAACCCCCGCCACCTGCTAATGTTTCATTCATATTGTACACCATGCTCCATCACTGTACACTTTTATCTCTTTCTTGCTGATCATTTATCCAGTTTCCCCTTAAATTCTATTTTCAGTCACAGCATCATAGACTTGTACAGCATGGAAACAGACCCCACCCGGTCCAACTTGTCCATGCCAACCAGATATCCTAAATTAATCTAGTCCCATTTGCCAGCATTTGGCCCATATCCCTCTAAACCCTTCCTATTCACATACCCATCCAGATGCCTTTTAAATGTTGTAATTGTACCAGCCTCCACCACTTCCTCTGGCAGCTCATTCCATACACGCACCACCCTCTGCGTGAAAATGTTGCCCCTTATATCCCTTTCAAATCGTTCCCCCCTCACCTTAAACCTATAGTTTTGGACTCCCCTACCCCAGGGAAAAGACCTTGCCTATTCACCCTATCCATGCCCCTCATGATTTTATTAACTTCTATAAGGTCACCCCTCAGCCCCTGATGCTCCAGGGAAAATGGCTCCAGCCTATTCAGCCTCTCCCTGTAGCTCAAACCCTCCAACCCTGGCAACATCCTTGTAAATCTTTTCTGAACCCTTTCAAGTTTCACAGCATCCTTCTTATAGCAGGGAGGCCAGAATTGAACACGGTATTCCAATAGTGGCCTAACCAACGTCCTGTACAGACGCAACATGACCTCCCTACTCCTATACTTAGTGCACTGACCAATAAATGCAAACATTTAATCACTGACGGCACAGAAAAAGACCATTCGGCCCATTCTGTCCATATTATTTGCATGAACTACTTTTATGTGATGGTGAATTCCACAGTTTGGACATAAAGGGTTCCTCATGAATTCCCTGTTGAGTTTGTTATTACATTAATAATTGCATTAATTATCAAATCTTTATTTAAAAATATAAAAAGTATTAACGATGAGAACTCTTTGCTGCAGATTTATCAATAAATAGTTGTCCTGTATCAATTTTATCCCTCAATCAGCTCACAATATTCTAGATTATCCAGTCATTGTCACATCAAAGTTTGTGGGGTCTTGCTGTGTACACATTTGCTCCATTCCTACATTTGCAAAAGTGACTGCACTTGCAAAAGTACTTCATTGGTTGTAACAGCTGGGATTCTAGAAGGTGCTTTAAAATCGCAAGTCTTTCTTCTTCTTCATTTCATTAGCACCTATCTTAGGTTATGATCCCTAACTTTGATTATTTCACTTGAGGGTTCACTAGATTAATTCTACAGGTGAGGAGTTTGTCTTATCAGAAGAGAGTCAGCAGTTTAGCCACATGTTCACTGGAGCTTAGAAGAATGAGATGAGTTCCAGTTGAGGTCTATAAGATGCAATAGGGGATTGACAAAATAGAGATAGAGAGGATGTTTCCTCATGTGGGGCAATCTAGAATGAGGGGTCAGTTTTAGGATAAGGGGAGGCAGATGTAAAACAGAGATGAGGAGTAATTATTTCTCGCAAAGGGTGATGAATCTGTGGAATTCACTCCTCCCGACTGCTGTGAATTTCAGGACAGTGAGTAAATCTAAGAGGAGATAGTTTTTTTTAAATGAGTGATGGGTTGAAGGGTTATGAAGAGCGGGCAGGAAAGTGGAGTTGTGGCCGAGATGACATCAGACATGATTGTATTGAATGGGGGAGCAGGTTCGAGGGGCTGAATGGCCTACTCCCGCACCTAGTTGTTAAGTTCTATTTGGGCTGAGCTTGATCCTTTATGTCTGTAACAGAATGTGTGAGGTTCGGGTATTTTTGTCTCAATTCCTCTGAGAGATTAGCACAGGTGATACATTGGGTAGTAAGCACTGGGTGGAATAATTCCTGAAGATCCCATCCAGTTGGCCTATGCCTCCAACAGTCAAACAGCCTTTTCTTTCACATCTCCAATTCTTCTATCAATCAATAAGCAAAAGATTTCTAAGAAGATTGTTCAAAAACTAAACATTACACAGCTATGATTTTTCATAAAATCCCTAGTGTGGAAACAGGCCATTCGGCCCAGCAAGTCCACACCACCCCTCCAAAGAGCATCCCACCCAGACCCATACCTCTACAACCTGGCATTTCCCATGTCTACCTCACCTAACTTACACATCCCTGAACACTCTGGGCAATTTAGCATGGTCAATCCACCTTAACCTGCACATCTTTGGACTGTGGGAGGAAACCAGAGCACCCAGAGGAAACCCACGCAGACACAGGGAGAATGTGCAATCTCCACACAGACAGTTGCCCTGAGGGTGGAATCGAACCCAGGTCCCTAGTGCTGTGAGACAGCAGTGCTAACCACTGAGCCACCATTTCCCTTCAGTTTGGTCACTGCAGGCCCCAGCTCACCCACACTTTCTCAAGGGGCAACTAGGGATGGGCAATAATTGCTGGCACACACACATGCCATGAGTGAATTCATTCTTGGCAACCCTACTCAAGGTTTAAGGGTTTTTTTTTCATTTGTGGGTTTACTATGAACAATTTTGGTCCCCTTCACTGAGGAAAGGTATACTGGCTTTGAAGGCAGTCCAAAGAAGGTTCACTAGGCTGATCCTGGGTTAAAAGGGATTATTGTATAAGGAGAGGTTGACTAGGTTAGTCCTGTGTTCATTGGTGGGGTTAGAAAAATGACAGGTGACCTTATTGAAACATATATGACGCTTAGGAGTTTTGACAGGGTGGATGCGGAGATTTTGTTAACCTCTTTGTGGGAGAATCTGAGAAAAGAGGGGCATCGTCTCAGAATAAGGGGTCGCCCATTTAACACAGAGATGAGGAGGAATTTCTTCTCTCAGAGGGGAGTGAATCTGCGGAATTCTTTACCACAGAGGGTTGTGGAGACTGAGTCGATGCATATTCAAGGCTGAGATAGACAGATTTTTAATCAGGAAGGGAATCAAGGGTTATGGGGTAAAGACAGGAAAGTGGAATTGATGATTATCAGATCAGCACATGATCTCATTCAATGATGGAGCAGACATAATGGGCCGAATGGCCTACTTCTGCTCCTACATCTAATGGGACAACAGGCTGAGCTAGTATTTACTGCCCATCCCTAATTGCCCAGAGGACAGTTAAGAGTCAACCACATTGCTGTGGGTCTGGAGCCACATGTAGGCCAGACCAGGTAAGGATGGCAGTTTCCTTCCCTAAAGGACATTAGTGAACCAGGTGGGTTTCTACAACAATTGGCTGTGGTTACCTAGTTTCCACTTGGCTAGCTTTTCGTTCCAGATTGTTAATAATTCAAATTTCAAACAGCGCCATGGTGGCACTTAACCCCAGGACTGCAGAAAATCAGGCTGAAAGGTTCTGAATTATTTATCTAGCAAGATAACCATTCCATTACCATCACCACCCACCTTCAAAGGTTGAAAGATTTGGAAGTCAAGTCAAATGGATGGGTGGACCCAAGATCATTTCTTTTTAAAACACAAGACTGTCCATAATATGTGGGAGCGGAATTAGGCCATTCAGACCATTAGGTCTGCTCTGCCAATTGATCATGTACAACATGTTCCTCAAGCCCATTCTCCTGCCTTCTGCCCATAATCCTTGATTCCCACAAGGGCCCAGATACCTCTGTCTTAAATACTCAATGACTTAGCCTCCACAGCCCTCTGCAGCAATGAGTTCCACAGATTCGCCATCCGCTGGCTGAAGAAATTCCTCCCCATCTCAGATCAATCACAGAATCCGTACAGTGTGGAATCAGACCATTCGGCCCATCAAGATCTGCACTGACCCACTGAAGAGCACCCCATCCAGAGACGCCCAACTCTATCACTGCATTTCCCATGGCTAACTCTCCTAGCCTGCATATCTCGGGGCAATTTAGCATAACTGTGTCTTTAGAGTCCACCCACCTGGGCCATGGGCGGAAACCCACACAGACACAGGGAGAACGTGCAAACTCCACACAGACAGTCACCCGAGGGTGGAATTGAACCCAGGTCCATGGCAGCGGGAGGAAACCGGAGCACCCAGAGGAAACCCACGCAGACACGGGGAGAATGTGAAAATTCCACACAGAGAGTCGTCCGAGGGTGGAATCGAACCCAGGTCCCTGGCGCTGTGAGGCAGCAGTACTAACCACTGAGCCACCGTGTTTCCCTCTAAGGCTGGGGAGAGTGAGGCTGACTGATCCTGAGAGTATGGCAGGAAAACAGAAACAAACTGATGCAAGTTCTCTTTTTCTATCACAGGTAATTGGCCCCAGAATGCCAGTGCAGCCGTTGTGCCTCTTGCTTGCTCTCTCTGTTTGCGTGGGAACATCTGAGGCAAGAATCGAGGAGACCTTATGCGGAGCTGAACTCGTGGATGCGCTGCAGTTCATCTGTGCAGAGAGGGGCTTTTATTTTGGTGAGAACAGCCATTTCTGTGTCTTTAATCACCACGAAATGTGGATGCACCATACATGATGGTCTAAGAAGCACCAATACAACACTGAATAGACAGGGAGAGATGAATTTTAGATGAATTCTCCCGGGAGTAAGTAATTGAGTAAGTTCAAGGCAGATATTGATAGATTTCTATGAACTACATCAAAAGAAATGGGAACAGTGTGGGAATATGGAGTTGAGTAGCCATGATCAAGAATGGGATACCAGGCTCGTGGGGGCTGAATGGCCTACTCCTGCTTCTACGTTCCCATGCATGTTTCCCAATCTTTTCTGTGTTGTTTGATTCCCCTTGTCCAGCTGGCTTGCAGTCAAGTCAATCCATTTATAACTCACTCATGGATGGGATCAATGTTTCTTGAAAGTCACCCACTACAAGGTGCCAGGAACGCCCAGAGGTTTGAGCCTTTCCTCACCCGTGTTTTCCGGGAGGTATTGTAAACACGCCTTAGTGGCCATATCACTTGGTGTATTTCAGGAATGGGATATTTCAGGGTTGGGGTGTTTTGGGTTTGAGGGTGTTTCGGGTTTGTGGTGTTCTGGGTTTTGGGGGGTTTCGGGCTTGAGGTGTCCTGGGTTTGGGGGTGTTTTGGGCTTTGGGTGTTTCAGAGTTGGGGGTATTTCAGGTTTGGGGTGTTTCAGAGTTGGGGTGTTTCAGAGTTGGGGTGTTTCGGGGTAGGGGTGTTTCGGGGTTGGGGTGTTTCAGGGTTGGGAGTGTTTAGGGGTTGGGG